CCGTACTTGACTGGGGAGCCTTGGGCTGTCAGCATTCCCCTTTGCTTCCATAGGCCAGCATGAGCACGCAGCACACCAAAAGCATACTTTGAATCGGTAAAAATGTTGACCCGCTTTCCTTTTGACAGTTCAAGTGCACGGGTCAGGGCTATTAGTTCGGCCAGCTGGGCAGAGGTCCCAGCAGGCAAACCTTCAGCTTCCACAGTGTCATGGAGCGTCACAACAGCATAACCCGCCCTCCTTTGCCCATCTATTACAGTACTGCTACCATCAGTGTACCACTCATAATCTGCATTTGGGAAGGGTACATCCTTTAAATCCGGACGGCTGGAGTACTGGACATCTATGATCTCTAAACAGTCATGTTTCTGTTCCTCTGTTTCTGGCAAGAGGGTGGCTGGGTTAAGGGAGGGGCAAGGCTGTAAGGTGACGTCAGAGTTCTCCAACAGCTTAGCCTGGTACCGAGCAATCCGAGCCTGGGTGAGCCAAAGCCCTCCCTTTGCATCCAATAAGGCTCAGACCATATGGGGAGTATAGATTTGCATAACCCCTCCCAATGTTAGCTTCTCGGCTTCCTCAAGCACTAGGGCAATAGCTGCGACAGCCCGTAAACATGCCGGCCAACCCTTTGCAACCTGATCCAGTTGCTTAGACTAATAAGCCATGGGATGTCTCCATGCTCCTAACAGCTGTGTGAGCACTCCTAGGGCCACCCCCCTTCGTTCATGTACATACAACTGAAACGGCTTAGAGAGATCTGGCAAGCCCAGAGCTGGGGCTTCCATCAACTTCCTTTTCAGGATTTTAAATGCCCTGTCAGCCTCTGGGATCCAATAGAAGGTGTCATGATCTTCTCCTTTTACACAGTCATACAGGGGTTTAGCCCACAGTCCAAACTCTGGGATCCAGATCCTGCAAAAGCCTGCCATACCCAGAAATGCCCTGAGCCGCTTACGATTACTTGGGGTAGGAACTTGACAGATAGCTTCCTTCCTTCTTTTCTTTTCTTTTTTTTTTGCTTGAAAGCTGACGCTCCCCTTGCCTTAACTGTATTAATGGTATTATGCTGTGCCGTCTCATGTTTCAGGGCCCTTTTGCAGAAGTTAATAAGTCATTCTCTTCAGGGCTATCACAAAGTGCTTATGCAAAGTCCAATTGTAAAGAAATAAGTAGCCCAAGTGAGAAAACTCAGAGCCAAGGCTGTTGAGTGTTCTCAAAGGAGGGAGTTGTTGGGGACACTGGGGCATGGCCACTAGGTAACTCGAGGGGATGGAAGACCACAAGTATCAATGAAGCCCCCTCGCACTAGGCCCAAGTGTCCTCGGCCGCCCCCCGTCCCTCCTGGAGGCACTCGCAGCAGCTCTGCGTACTAGGCCCAAGTGTCCTTGGCACCCCCGCCTAGAGGCACTCACAGCAGTTATGCTGAGGATCTGAAACAATATGTTGTAGAGTCAGACTGCCTGAAACTAAACAAGGCCAAACAGGGCAGATATGGAAGAAAAATGCTGAATAAAGCAGCTTTATGTATAGTTTAACAAATGATACAGAGAACCAGGGAACTAGCTGGTAACTGGATTGGCTGGCTATATGGATACTTAGGGCAGCTTGCTATTGGATAAGTATGCTGAAGAAAGGATGTATAAACGCCTGTGTAACTTCCTGCTCTGGGTGCAGGATTTGAGATTTTATTCTCCCTGTACCTTTTTGAAGCTTCAAATAAACTTTTCTGCTTCTCCACCCCATTGTAATTATTGGGTGAAGCACACCGGGTAGTGAACCAAACCCTCCTGTTGTTTTGCCTCTCGGCACTGGGTGCCGGCAAGAACGTGGAACCATTGTCTGCCGTTGCCCTGACGGAGGGAGGGGCGAGTGACGACATGGCTTACAGGGTTGGCTTACAGGGAATTAAAATCAACAAAGGGGGTGGCTTTACATCAAGGAGAAACAAAAACAACTGTCATACAGAATGGCCCCCTCAAGGATTGAACTCAAAACCCTGGTTTAGCAGGCCAATGCTCAACCCACTGAGCTATCCCTCCCCCTGCTATTCCAGGCAGGACTGAATCTCCATTAAACTTTTCCAGGTGCCCCTGACAGAGCTCACTGAAACGATTGTCGGCCGTTGATTTCACGGAGGGAGAGGGGAGCAAAAGAATAAAAAACAAATCTGGTCTATTTCTTGTTTTGATCCACTCCATCTATCTTTTACATCTTTGGCTGGCAGAAGACGGTGCAATAGGACTGCTAGCCATCCTCATCTCCTGGCTGGTTGGCAGAAGACGGTGCAATAGGGCTGCCGGCAGGACTGAAGAGAATGACCTGCTCGAGTCACTCCTATTTCAGTCCCTGCGGCCATGTCTGCACAGGAGCTCCTGACCGACCTTACTGAGGCGGCCAAGAGCTCCTAGGACATGAGGACGATGGTTATCAGGCCTATGCACCGTCTGCTGCCACAAGGCAATGAGCTGCAGCTCTGTAGCAATGCAATCCTGTGTCTGCCAGCACCCAGGAGACGTAGGGTGACAGTGAGCTGAGAGGGCTCCATGCTTGCCGTGGTATGGCGTCTGCACAGGTAACTCAGGAAAAAAGGCGCTAAACGATTGTCTGCCGTTGCTTTCATGAAGGGAGGGAGGGAAGGGGGGGCCTGAGGACATGTGCCCAGAACCACCCGCGACAATGTTTTTTGCCCCATCAGGCACTGGGATCTCAACCCAGAATTCCAGTGGGCGGCGGAGACTGCGGGAACTGTGGGATGGCTACCCACAGTGCAACGCTCCGGAAGTCGACGTGAGCCTTGGTACTGTGGAAGCACTCCGCCCAGTTAATGCACTTAATGCACTTAGAGCATTTTGTGTGGGGACACACACACTCGACTATATAAAAACGATTTCTAAAAACCAACTTCTATAAATTCGACCTAATTTCATAGTGTAGACATACCCTTAGCCGGCCAGTAAAACAGAGGTTTATTAGACAACAGGAACATGGTCTAAAACAGAGCTTGTAGGTACAGAGAACTGGACCCCTCAGCCGGGTCCATTTTGGGGGGCAGTGAGCCAGACATCCCTGTCTGCACTTCACTAGATGTCTCCAGCCAGCCCCAACCGACTCACCCTCCAGCCCCTCCTCCTCTGGGCTTTGTCCCTTTCCCGGGCCGGGAGGACACCTGATCCCTTTGTACTCCAACCCCTTTATCTCTCACCTTGCAGGGGGGAAGGGCCCAGGCCATCAGTTGCCAGGAGACAGAGTGTCGGCCATTTATGTACACTGGCCCTTTCTCTGCAACAATTACACCCCCTTATCCCAGCACCTAGAGACTGAAGAAGTGCATAGGGGAAACTGAGGCACCCCTACAGTATTCAGAGGAAACATTAAGAACAGTCCCACTTTGTCACAGGGACACAGGCCAGGGGGCAGAAAGAGGGGGACAGGGACATGAGGGGACACGGGATGGTGGGACATGTACGGGGGAGGGGATACAGTCCAGGGGGCTGAGGATCCCAATGCATGAATGTCGGGGGTGGGGGGTGAAGGGTAAACAAGCTGGGGAGCCAGAGCTTGGGCATCCGCCGGGCATGGGGGAAGGGAGATTCTCTTGAGCTCTGTCCCTGTTAACTTGCCTCCTCCCCTTTCTGGGGGGCTGGTTGGCTCCCCCCGACCCCCCATGTCCCTTTTGCAGCATCCTGAGGTGAGCTCTGCTCTGGGCCCTGAGATGCGCAGACCCACTGCCCCGGGTATGGGATCGGGAAGGTACACGGGGCCTTTCACCTCTAGGGGGCTGGCTCAAATCTGCATCCTTTTCTCTTAGCACTAGACCCCACCCCCCCAACCAGAGCCAGGAGAGAACCCAGGAGTCCTGGCTCCCAGCCACCCCCATCCCCCAATCACTAGACCCCATTCCCCTCCCAGAGCCGGGGTATATAACAGGGTAGATGCCGGGCATCAGGTTTTCACAGAATTTCACTGGCAGTAGAAGAAACAGGAAGTGAGCGCCAGTTCTGGCCAGACTTCCCCTTTCCCGGATTTATCCACTGTTCCTTTATCCACTCAGGATCTACATTTACCCCTCCCTCCCCTGCTCACGGGGACCAGAAACCACAACTCCCACCCCGCTCAAACCTCCCCTTCGTGTCTCTGTGCCACATCACTCAGCTAAGAACGGCGTGTGCAGCGATGGTACCTGAGAAGGAGGTTGGCCAGGTGCCTCCACCCTCATGCTGCAGGGCTGGGGCTGGGCCCAGCTGGGTCAGGAAGGAATCTCTGTCCCGCTCCTTGGGAGAGGGTGTCTTTGTGGGGGGCACTGTGTGTGGGGGGTAGAAGCCCTCCTCTGCTCTGAGCTGCTCCTCCAGGGAGGCTAGACGGGCCTGTTGGAAAAGCTCAGGGCAGCCTGGACACCTTTTGACACCTCCTGAGATTCCCCTGTTCCCAGCTGGTCCCCGGACTGGGCAGCTCCCATGTGGGGCTGGGGGCTGATGGGGGGTGGCGTGGGACCAGGCAGCTGCAGGAGGCGATGTGGTTTGCTGGGTGTTGCAGGGAGCTGGCTTTGCTCTGACCGCGGTAGATTTGGGCTGGAGATTGCAGAGAAACCAGCTGATGGGGAAGAAAGGGGCCGAGCGCATAACGGGCTTCCTGGGGCTGCAGCCCCCGGCGCAGTTCCTCATTCTGCTCGCACTCGGGCCTCAGGCTGGGTGGAGCTGGACACTGGGGTGTTGGTGGCAGCGCTGGGGGGCCCCCCACTGCCCCATCATGGCGTCTGCTCTCACCGTCCTCCTTGGTGAGTATCGGAGACAGCCAGGGCGTGTGTCTATGTGGGGGGTGGATCTGAGACCAGGGCGTGTGCCCAAAGAGGGGGGATCTTAGACCAGGGCATCTGCTCATGGAGGGGGGATCTGAGACCAGGGCGTGTGTCCATGGTGGGGTGGGGTGGGGTGGAAATGAGACCAGGGTAAGGGATCCAGTTGCTCTGGGATCTGGTCACTAACGAGCCGTCTCCTCTCCAGGCTGCTGGCTGGCCGGGCACAGCGGGGCGTGGGGAGGTGAGTATCAGTCTGGGGGGAGAACAGTAACATCAAGGATGGGGGAGGGGATCTGAGTCCTGAACCTTACCCAAAACTCAACACAAACTCCCCCTGGGCGCTCAAACCCGTCCCAGTTCCTCTCTGCCCTGCCCCACCAGGGAGTAACGAGGAGCCGACCTTCGCTCCCGGGGTCTGACAAAGCAGATGGGAACCATCCACTGGTTCAGTGTCCTGCCCCCTCAGGCTGGGAAGATTGCGGGGGGCGGGAAATGTGGATTTATTTCAGCTCATACAAACGCTAACAGCGCCCATCCGTGGGCTCTAGATCCCGTCGGGGTAACCAAAACGTTCACGGTCAGTGCAGCCATGGGGGACAAGCCCCCCAGATCAGCCCCCGCCCCAACACGTCCCTCCCCTGCACTCACAGCCGCCCACCCCGCGATCCCAAGGCCTGGGGAAAGGTGGGTCTCTGCACTGTTGGGACGCTCAGAGCCAGGCTCTGCCCTGAGCCCAGCAGAGGGGACAGAGTCACTGGGGGGTTCCCCAGCCGGGGGGAGAAGCAGACACTGGACATTCAGGGCTGAGGGAGGGGGGATCCCTGCCCCCAGCGGGAGCTGCAGAGCAGGGGGGCCTTTCCCAGGTAACACATCAGTTAGGGGGTGACGGGCGGAGCTGAAGGTTATAAACCTCAGTGGATAGGAGAGACTTTCACAGTCCCCTACAAGTCAGGGGTGGTGCTGTGTGTAAGCGGGGGAATGGTCCCGCTGTTGTGGGGAACTTTCCTGGCTTATACCCACCCCGGTGGGATTGGCTGGTGAAAGGATCTGAGTCCTCGCTCCCACTCCCTTTACCCAGCGGCCTGCCTGACCTCGAGGGCTCCCCTTCCTCCCTCCCGTGTGGCAGAGTCCTCATGACCCCGGCAAGGCTGGGCCCCAGATTCCCGGGGGACTCGACCCCCAACCTTGTTGTGGTCACTTCAGGAAGGGGCGAGGGTGTCCCCTCTCTCGGGTGCTCTCTCTGCGCTGGACGCTCCCCTGACCCCCTGATCATTACAAACAATTTATTACACAAGAATCAATTTTTAAAAATAAGGAAAAAAATGGGGAAGGTGAAAGGAAAACCCGTCACCCCGCTCTGTGGCCCGGGGACGTCACAGCCAGCGTCTCTGGGCTCCGGTGGCTGCAGCTCCGGGGACAGGGCTGCTCTGTGGGCTGCTGCTTTGACTCTGCTCCCAGCACGGACCTCCTCCCCGGGCTGCTGTTCTGGCCCCTCTGGCTGGCCCGGCTCTGGGTGCTCCCAGCTCAGCTCGGGCCCCTGCTTTCTCCTTAGCTCAGCCCCCCTCTGTCTGCCCCAGGCAACTCCAGCTCACCCAGAGGATGGGACCCCCTGGATTCCTGACTAGCCCGCTGGCCCTGGCAATCAGGCTCACCTGGAGCGTTGGCCTCTCCCCATTGTTCCTGGGGACTGTCGGTCTCAGGGTCCTGGATTCCCATCGACCCTTCCCCTTGGTGCTGGGAGCGAGCAACCAAAACACCCCGAGTGAATGTCAGTAAGGGGACAACAGCCCCGTTACATGTGCACAGAACCCAGGAGTCCTTGCCCCCATCCTCCCTGCTCTCCCCACTACACCCCACTCCCCTCCTAGAGCCAGGGACAGAACCCGGAGTCCTGGCCCACATCCTCCTGCTCTCCTGCCTAGACCCCAAGCCCCACCCAGAGCCAGGGACAGAACCCAGGAGTCCTGGCTCCCAGCCCCCTCCCAGCAGAGAAGCCAGGGCGTGAATGGACCCCTAGAGACTGGACTGGTGTGTCACCCACTTGGGAGCAGAGCTTTGGGCCCCCGGGGGCTGGGGTTGCTCCGTGTCTCATGCTGTTAGCCCAGGGCTCAGAGGAAACTCTGGGCCCCTGTGGAAAGGCATCCAGGAGTCTGTCCCCAGGGCCACCGGGTCTGACCCCCCACGGAGGCCGCGTGTTGAGGACAGGCTCCAGGACTGGGTGACGGGGCCTGGGACTCACGGCCTGTCTGCTTCCCCCTGCAGAGCCCAGCTATCCCAAACCCAGCATCTCCCTGAGCCCCAGCTGGGGGGTCTCCCTGGGGGGAGCAGTGGCCGTCTGGTGTCGGGGGCAGCACCGGGGCATGCGGTTCGTGCTGAATAAAGAGGGAAGCCATTGCCAAACTGTGGCTTCGAACGGGTTGGAGGCTGTGTTTCCCATCAGCAACGTGCGCCAGGAGGACCGGGGGATCTACAGCTGCTCCTATCAGAACAGATCGGAGCCGTTCGCCGTGTCGTCCCCCAGCGACCCCGTGGATCTGGCGGTGACAGGTGAGGGGCCCGGCTCGGCGTCCCCGTTCCCAGCCCCACCCCCAGTCTGACCCTCACGGGGGCTCGGTGCTAATGGGACGCTTAGAGCCAGGCTCTGCCCTGAGCCCTGACGCCGCAGTGGGGACGCCCAGCCGGGGAGCGGGGACGGAGTCACTGGGGGGTTCCCCAGCCAGGGGGGAGCAGCAGCCCCTGGGGACTCGGATCAGGGAGGTGACTTTAACGCTGTCCCTTGTGCGTAGGAACCGTGAGTCGCTATTTAATCCTGTGATCCCCTCCCCTCTGTTCTCCTGGCGCGGCCACAGACTCTGTGTCCTTCTTTGTCGGGGGGCCTCAATCTTGGGGGATCTCAGACCGACCGCCCACAAACGGAGATGCCCACAGTTAGGGGAGAACTCTGCAAATACTGGCCTCAATAGCACTGGATCCCTTGTGTTGGGGGAGCATGTAGGACCCCTGCCATGGTCAGGACCCCGTTAAGTGGGACTGTTCTTAATGTTTCCTCTGAATAGTGTGGGAGTGCCTCAGTTTCCCCTAGGCAGTTCTTAAGTATCTAGGGGGTGGGGTAAGGGTGTATGATCATTGCAGAGCCTTAGAGGGCAGGTGTGTGCAGGAGTCTGGACACAGAGAATGGCCGACACCCTGTTTCCTGGCAACTGATGGCCTGGGCCCTTCCCCCCTGCAATGTGAGAGCTAAAGGGCTGGAGAACAAAGGAATCAGGTGACCTCCTGGCCCGGGAAAGGAACAAAGCCCAGAGGAGGAGGGGCTGGAGGGAGTTTCATTTTGGGGCTGGCTGGGACATGGAGTGAAGGGCAGACGTGGTTGTCTGGCTCACTGCCCCCCAAAATGGACCCAGCTGAGGGGTCCTGTTCTCTGCACCTGCAAGCTCTGTTTTAGACCATGTTCCTGTCATCTAATAAACCTCTGTTTTACTGGCTGGCTGAGAGTCACGTCTGACTGCGGAGTTGGGGGGCAGGACCCTCTGGCTTCCCCAGGAGCCCCACCTGAGCGGACTCGCTGTGGGAAGCGCACAGAGGGGCAGAGGATGCTGAATGCTCCGAGGTCAGACCCAGGAAGGTGGAGGCGGGTGAGCTGTGTGTCCTGCAGACAGGCTGCTCACAGAAACACGACTGCCCCAGAGTCCTGACTAGCTTCATGGGGAGCAGTTCCAGAGCATCGCCCAGGGACTCTGTGACACCCTTGTGTTGGGGGAACATGTAGGGCCCCTGCCATGGTCAGGACCCCGTTGTGCCCGGCGCTGCATAAACACAGAGTGAAGAGACCATCCCTGCCCCTGGGAGCTCACGAAGGAAAGTGAATCTGAATGTGACTCAGTTTCCCCCTGTAGAATGGGTATAAAGACGCTTCGCTGCCTCCCAGGGGGCTGACTTCCTTCCTGTGTGGCCCTCAGGCCCAATAGTGCCAGGCTCCAGCGAGCAGCCTCTGAGTCGCCCTCTGCTCAGGGGGAGGGGGGGGGATGCAGTGAATAAGGCAGGGGCCACACACGGCCTATGAGGACCCCAAGAACTAGGCAGCCATGGCTAATACAGATAAAAACCTCACCAGTTCCAGTAAGCTTCCTTTTACAGACAAATCTCCTTCTAGTCTGCGTCCAGCTATCACTCACATCCCCTGTAGTTACTGTCCTTTGTTCCAGTTTCTTTCAGGTGTCTTTGGGGGTAGAGAGGCTCTCTCTTTAGCCAGCTGAAGATAAAATGGAGGGGTCTTCCAGAGGTTTAAATACACTTTCTCTTGTGGGTGGAGACCCCCTCCTCTCTCCTATGCAAAGTCCAGCTATAAAATGGAGTTTTGGCATCACCTGGGCAAGTCACATGTCCACGCAGGACTGAGTTCCTTACCAGCCACGCCACATTCCTGGGAAAGCCCAGATGTGGACTGGCGTCTCCAAGTTCATTGTTGGCTTAAGGGCTTCTTGATTGGGCTCTTACTGAGAACAGTCCTTTCTCAGGAAGCTGACCAACTGCTTCACTGAAACCTACTCAGAATCAAACAAGTACGCAGCCGATACTCATAACTTCGAATGCGATAATGACACATGCATACAAATAGGATGAATAGATTCAGTAGGTGATGACCTTGACAGAGATATGTTCGCTGTGGGAAGCGCACGAAGGGGCAGAGGATGCTCTGGAATTGCTCTCTATGAAGCCAGTCAGGACTCTGGGGCAGTCGCCTTTCTGTGAGCAGCCTGTCTGCAGGACACACAGCTCACCCGGCTCCACCTTCCTGGGTCTGACCTCGGAGCATTCAGCCTCCTCTGCCCCTCCGTGCGCTTCCCACAGCGAGTCCGCCCAGGCGGGGTCCTGGGGAAGTCAGAGGGTCCTGCCCCCCGACTCCGCAGTCAGATGTGACTCTCAGCCAGCCAGTAAAACAGAGGTTGATTAGACGACAGGAACATGGTCTAAAACAGAGCTTGTATGTGCAGAGAACCGGACCCCTCAGCTGGGTCCATTTTGGGGGGGGCAGTGAGCCAGACAACCACGTCTGCCCTTCACTCCATGTCTCCAGCAAGCCCCAAACTGAAACTCTCTCCAGCCCCTCCCCCTCTGGGCTTTGTCCCTTTCCCAGGCCAGGAGGGCACCTGATTCCTTTGTTCTCCAACCCTTTATCTCTCACCTTGCAGGGGGGAAGGGCCCAGGCCATCAGGTGTCAGGAAACAGGGTGTCGGCCATTCTCTGTTTCTAGACCCTGCACACACCTGCCCTCTAGGGCTCTGCAACGATCATACACCCTTACCCCACCCCCTAGATACTTAAGAACTGCCTAGGGGAAACTGAGGCACCCCCACACAATTCAGAGGAAACATTAAGAACAGTCCCACTTCGTCACACATATATACATTGACAAGTATATTTTCATAAAGCCTTATGGGGGCACCGTCACAATAGTGTTTCCTAATATCCAAAGGAGACCTCCCCCACTGCAACCTGAGACCATTGCTCCTTGTTCTGTCATCGGCCCCCACTGAGAACAGCCCAGCTCCATCCTCTTTGGAGCCCCCCTTCAGGGAGTTGAAGGCTGCTATCAAATCCCCCCTCACTCTTTTCTTCTGCTGCTGGAGGCCAGGGCTGGGTGGGTGCCCGGGTCTGGCTCTCACAGCCTGTCTCCTGTGCGCAGATCCCAGCCTGCCCAGACCCTCCATCTCTCTGAGCCCCATTGGGGTCACCGCCGCAGGGACAGACGTCACCATCCGGTGTCAGGGGCAGAGCCGGGACGTGAGGTTCTTCCTGCACAAGGCTGGAGACCTGAACCCGCCGCGACACATGGACCCTGCTGGGGACGGGGCCGAGTTCCACATCCCCACCGTGGGCCGGCAGCACGGAGGGAGCTACGGCTGCAGCTACCGGCCCCGGTCAGAGCCCTTCGTCTCCTCGCAGCCCAGCCACCCCGTGCAGCTGGTGGTAGCAGGTGAGGGGCCCGGCTCCACGTCCCCGCTCCCAGCCGGACCCTCAGAAGGTCGGCACCCAGATGGGATGCTCAGAGCCAGGCTCTGCCCAGAGCCCTAGGACTCGCCTGGACAGGGAGCGGGGACAGTGTCACTGGGGGGTTCCCCAGCCACGGGGGGAGCAGCAGCTCCTGGAGATTTGGTGCCAAGGGAGGGGGGATCCCTGTCCCCAGGGGCAGCTGCACAGCAGGGGCCTTTCCCAGGGGATGCTCCCCCGGCTGCCCCCGCACTGGGGACTCAGAGAGGAGTCAGGGCCCAGGGGCTGCCCAGCCAGCACCGTCCCCAGCCACAAACCCCCTCCCCGGGACTGACAGTAACGATCGATGCTGAGTCACGGGCAGAGTTGAATTAAGGTTTCCTGGGGCCCTGGGCCAGAGCAAGGGGGAGTCGCTCCCCACCTTTTCACCTGCCCTCCCACTCCTGTCCCACCTCCTCGGCCTGCAGCCCCGCCCACAGCCCCACCCCTTTCTCTCCCTTCCCCAGGGCCCCGCCCCTATTCCACCCACAGTCCCGCACTATTCCGTCCCCCCACTGCAGCCCCGCAACCCATTTACTACTTTCTGCCCCCCCCAAAACTACGGCCCCAAGACCCGAGAACTCTGTCCCCCCACCCCGGCCCAGGGGCGCAGGGGGGAGTGAGAGTCCAGTGTGGGACCAGGGGAGAATCTCTTGAGTCACAGATTATGGGGCAGCTTCCCTCAGTGGTTGCCCAGGGGAGGGATGGAGGCTGTTCTCAGGGGCAGTGGCTCCCCCCCTGCCAATGGATTTGGGCAGGGAGCGAAGTCTCCTGCTCAGACACGAACCCGCCTCGCTAACAGGGCAGCTGGAGGCCCCCTCTGGGGGCAGCTGGGGTCATCAGTGGCCATGCGGGTGGTGCCCTGAGGTCCATGTGACGCTGCCAGGGGCAGCCAGCATGGGAGGCGGGATACCAGGCTAGATGGGCCCTTTGGCCTGAGTCAGTGTGGCCATGAGGAAGGGGGTGAAATGCCTTAGAAATGACGGCCAGGCTGGATCAGACAGCTCCCCCAGTGCCATGCTGGGGCAATGGGGCCAGCTCTGACCGATGGGGTGAATGCCTCCTACTGAGCCCCCAGCCCACTGCAGCCCAGTGTCCCCTAGCACTACAAATCCCCCAAATCTTGCTTGATCTGACCCCACTTGATACCCTAGGACCCCCCAACATCCTCCCCATAGATTTTTTTCCTGGTTGTGCCCTGTGGTGTCCCAGCCCCTTGGGTGCTGCCTGGGGTGGGAGAGGCTGGGGGGGAACAGACCAGACCCTCCCAGCACTCACAGCCTGCTGCTGTTTCCCAGGAGAATCGGGATCTCTCAGCCACATCATCGCCGGGGCGAGCGCGGCAGCCGCCGGCCTCCTCCTCCTCCTGGTGGCCTTCCTCTGCTTCCGAAAAACCCGAGCCAGTAAGTGCCCCACCCAGCGAGGAAAGGGTTAAACCTGCCGCTAAGCAGGGCGGGATGGCGTTACGGCTTGGATGGGGGACGGTGCCGGGAAAGCCCAGGAGTGGGGTGGGGGCTCAGCAAGGGGTTCTACTGCATGGGTTATCCCTGTACACACACACCTGTCCCACCCCAGAGGGACCGCATCTCAGCGCAGGCTGAGGGGTCCCCATATAACCAGTCCCCTTGCCCCACCCCAGAGGTGGCCGCATCTCATTTATAAAGAGCCACAGACACCGTGCCTCTCTGGTACATGGGGTGCCAGGGGAGCCGACCTATGGATCAGGTTTGTTATAGCGAGTCACTAAGGAGGGAGGAATAGGGACAGGAAAAGCCCCCCAAAGTTAATCTGCCCCGCCCCGGCCCATGTTACAGTGTTGTGCTGCCCCCCACCCCTGCTGCCCTGTGCTGGGACCGGGGGATCCCGATCTGCTCATGGGGGATTCTGGTTTGTGTCCCTCTGCAGGAAAAGGAGCTGCACCGAGACCCAGCAGGTAGGAACCCGACTCCTCCCTCTCCCAATCGACCTGCCGGGGTCACAGGGCTCCTGGGTTCTCTCCTTCATCTGGGAGGGGAGTGGGGTCTAGTGGTTACAGCAGGGAGGTGTGGGTGTGTGTGTTGGGCTGTGACCAGGAGTCCTGGGTTCTAGGGAACTGGGTTCAGTGTGAGGCAGGATGGGGGGCTTTCTGGGTGTGTTGGGGAATCTCTCCACGGGTGGGGGGATATGACATTTACAAGGGGATTTTCTCTTTTAGCACCAGCCCTATGGGGGCATTAAAGGCATCAGCTCAGAAAGACCCCGTCTGTGAGTAACACACCCAAGGGGGTACCAGGGTGGGGCAGGACCCCAGGGAGGGACGGGGCTTGTGGGGGCTCCACCCACATGGGGCAGAGTCTCATTTACAGCTGCTGCTGGGCGGGACTAAGGAGGGGGTCCCAGAGGTAGCTGGTGTCAGCTGAGAGTGTTGGACTCCCAGGAGCTCCCTGGGGCCACCCTCCCTTCCCGCTCTAGTTCCCCGTCCACTCCTGGCTCCCAGCCCCCTGCTCTAACCACTAGCTAGACCCCACTCTCCTCCTGAGCCAGGGCGAGAACCCAGGATTTCTGACTCCCAGCCCCCTGCCCCCGCTGTAACCCCCTCGACATTTTTGTGACTCAGTTTTCCTCTCTGTAACACTGGGCTAATGACTCTGGCCCATGGTGTGGGGCGGGGAGGGGGTGGCTCTGCCAGGCTCTGACCCCCTGGGATGGATATGGGGGGTTGGAGCTGGGTGTGGGGTCCTGCTCTGGGCCAGCCGGGGGTGCAGCTCAGCGAGTGTCTCTGTTCCGCAGACACCTCTATCGACGAGGGAAAAGAGCCACAGACCCTGGTAAGCGTCCCCTGTTCCCCCATGGGGCCTGACCCCCCCAACCTTGCCCCACATGGGCCCCAGTAGCTCCCTCACAGCCCCCCTCCCACAAATACACCTTTCCTGGCACACTCAGTGGCGTGGGGTGGGGGTCAGGCTGGTAGGAGAGTGGTGGGCTTATGTGTGTGTGTGTACCCTGTGCTGTGTGTGTGTTGGGGTGTTGGTAGATTCACACACACGCTCACACACACCCCAGTGACTCTCTCCCCTTCCTGCCCCAGGAGCCCGACCCCAGTGCCCAGGGACTCACCTACGCCGAGCTGGACGTCCAGGTGCTGCAGGCCAAGCGGGGGAAACCGGCCCCTGCCCCTGAGTCTGCCCAGCCCAGCGTGTACGCCGCAATCAACAGGGCCCGGGGGGCCCCGCAGTGAGAGCCCCCTGCAGCCATGGGGCACCTGGCCCCAGGGGGCGACAGACTCACCCCCCTGCAGCGCCAGCCCCAGAGAACTCTGCTTCTAAGAAGATTTAGGGGAGACGCTGCCCTCCCCCTGCTACTGCCCCGTCCCATCGAGCAGCTGGCCCCCTGCCCCGTCCAGACCCACACGTAGGGCCGGTGTGGGGGGCTTAGCACCGGGATGAGGAGAGGATGTGCCGAGGCTGTCTATGTTATTTTGCATCCTGTTAATCTCCAGCTTTGTAATAAACACAGAACCACAAACCAGCCCCCCTGGGCCCCTGCTGTGAATGTGTGTAACACCTGGGCGAGATGGGGTGGGGTGCGTGGGCTGGTTATACAGGGACTCCAACGTAGGGATGCAGCCCCATCTGGGGTGGGGTGCTGGTTATACAGGGACCACTCGCCTGGCGCTGGGTTGCAGCTCCTCTGGGGAAGGTCGTCAGTTGGGCAGGATGCCGGGGTTCACACCCTGACTCGGGGCGAAGCTGCAGAAGGGTCTGTGTTGCTGTACAGAACTCCAGAATTTGCTAAGCAATAAAAAAGGCATAGTCAACCAGTTATTTTAGATATTTTAAGTTGACTTAAGACAAATTTTAAAATAAAATTTTAGAATAAAAGAAGGAAAACTATATTTTCAAATTATACAAATAGATGGTCTCAAATTGCTTCGGCTGAAAATAAGGTAACTTTCAATGGACATGTAACACAGCCCTGTGCAATGTTGCACTCTAGGTGTGTACTACAAGGTCTGTATTCATGAACCCGTATCTTAGCACTCAGGTGGGCACTCTTTTTATTATCTTGGGGAAATGAGAAGCCCAAGCCCACAGATAGATAGATGCAGAATAAGGAGAATAGAAACTCCTTTTCCACCATGAATATTGATTGATAAAAATCTCCTTCCTTAGAAGGTTTTAAGGTCAGGCTTGACAAAACCCTGGCTGAGATGGGATTGGTACTGCTTTGAGCAGGGGGTTGGACTATATGACCTCCTGAGGTCCCTTCCAACCCTGATATTCTATGAAGTGGGACTGTTCTTAATGTTTCCTCTGAATACTGTACGGGTGCCTCAGTTTCCCCTATGCATTTCTTAAGTGTCTAGGTGATGGGATAAGGGGGTGTAATTGTTGCAGAGCAAAGGGCCAATGTACATAAATGGCTGACACTCTGTCTCCTGGCAATTGATGGCCTGGGCCCTTCCCCCCTGCAAGGTGAGAGATAAAGGGGTTGGAGTACAAAGGGATCAGGTGTCCTCCCGGCCCGGGAAAGGGACAAAGCCCAGAGGAGGAGGGGCTGGAGGGTGAGTCGGTTGGGGCTGGCTGGAGACATCTAGTGAAGTGCAGACAGGGATGTCTGGCTCACTGCCCCCCAAAATGGACCCGGCTGAGGGGTCCAGTTCTCTGTACCTACAAGCTCTGTGTTAGACCATGTTCCTGTCGTCTAATAAACCTCTGTTTTACTGACTGGCAAAGGGTATGTCTACACTATGAAATTAGGTCGAATTTATAGAAGTCATTTTTTTAGAAATCGTTTTTATATAGTCGAGTGTGTGTGTCCCCACACAAAATGCTCTAAGTACATTAAGTGCATTAACTGGGCGGAGTGCTTCCACTGTACCGAGGCTCGCATCGACTTCCGGAGCGTTGCACTGTGGGTAGCCATCGCACAGTTCCCGCAGTCTCCGCCGCCCACTGGAATTCTGGGTTGAGATCCCAATGCCTGATGGGGCTAAAACATTGTCACGGGTGGTTCTGGGCACATGTCGTCAGGCCCCCGCTTCCCTCCCTCCCTCTGTGAAAGCAACAGCAGACAATCGTTTCGCGCCTTTTTTCCTGACTTACCTGTGCAGATTCCACACCACTGCAAGCATGGAGCCCGCTCAGATCACTTTGGCAATTAGGAGAACATTAAACACCACGCGCATTATCCAGCAGTATATGCAGCACCAGAACCTGCCAAAGCGAAACCGGGCGAGGAGGTGATGTCAGAGCAGTGACGAGAGTGATGAGGACATGGACACAGACTTCTCTCAAAGCACGGGCCCCGGCAATGTGGGCATCATGGTGCTAATGGGGCAGGTTCATGCCGTGGAACGCCGATTCTGGGCCCGGGAAACAATCTCAGACTGGTGGGATCGCATAGTGTTGCAGGTCTGGGACGATTCCCGGTGGCTGTGAAACTTTCGCATGCATAAGGGCACTTTCATGGAACTTTGTGACTTGCTTTCCCCTGCCCTGAAGCGCAAGAATACCAAGATGAGAGCAGCCCTCACAGCTGAGAAGCGAGTGGCAATAGCCCTGTGGAAGCTTGCAACCGCAGACAGCTACCGGTCAGTCGGGAATCAATTTGGAGTAGGCAAATCTACTGTGGGGGCTGCTGTGATGCAAGAAGGCAACGCAATCAAAGATCTGCTGATATCAAGGGTAGTGACCCTGGGAAATGTGCAGGTCATAGTGGATGGCTTTGCTGCAATGGGATTCCCTACCTGTGGTGGGGCCATAGACAGAACCCATATCCCTATCTTGGCACCGAAGCACCAAGCCAGCGAGTACATAAACTGCAAGGGGTACTTTTCAATAGTGCTGCAAGCACTGGTGGATTACAAGGGATGTTTCACCAAGATCAACGTGGGATGGCCAGGAAAGGTACATGACTCTCGCATCTTCAGAAACTCTGGTTTGTTTCAAAAGCTGCAGGAAGGGACTTTCTTCCCAGACCAGAAAATAACCACTGGGGATGTTGAAATGCCTATAGTTATCCTTGGAGACCCAGCCTACTCCTTAATGCCATGGCTCATGAAGCCATACACAGGCAGCCTGGACAGCAGTCAGGAGCTGTTCAACTACAGGTTGAGCAAGTGCAGAATGGTGGTAGAATGTGCATTTGGACGTTTAAAAGTGCGCTGGCGCAGTTTACTGACTCGCTTAGACCTCAGCAAAACCAATATTCCCATTGTTATTACTGCTTGCTGTGTGCTCCACAATATCTCTGAGAGTAAGGGGGAGACGTTTATGGTGGGGTGGGAGGTTGAGGCAAATCGCCTGGCCACTGGTTATGCACAGCCAGACACCAGGGAGGTTAGAAGAGTACAGGAGGGTGCGGTGCGATCAGAGAAGCTTTGAAAACCAGTTTCATGACTGGCCAGGCTACGGTGTGAAAGTTCTGTTTGTTTCTCCTTGATGAAACCCGCCCCCCCCTTTTGGTTCACTCTACTTCCCTGTAAGCTAACCACCCTCCCCTTTCCCTTCGATCGCCGCTTGCAGAGGCAATAAAGTCATTGTTGCTTCACATTTATGCATTCTTTATTAATTCATCACACAAATAGGAGGATAAATAGTTGGATAATAAGGTAGCCTGGGAGGGGTGGTGGAGGAGGGAAGGACAAGGCCACACAGCACTTTAAAACTTTAAAACTTATTGAATGCCAGTCTTCTGTTGCTTGGGCAATCCTCTGGGGTGGAGTAGCTGCGTGGCCGGAGGCCCCCCCACCACATTCTTGGACATCTGGATGAGGAGGCTTTGGAACTTGGGAGGAGGGCAGTTGGTTACAGAGGGGCTGTAGCGGCGGTCTGTGCTCCTGCTGCCTTTCCTGCAGCTCAACCATACTCTGGAGCATATTAGTTTGATCTTCCAGCAGCCTCAGCATTGAATCCTGCCTCCTCTCTTCACGCTGCCGCCACCTTTGTGTCCCCTAAATCTTCACAGCTGTGTGTCCTGAAGACAGTCTGCTCACAGAAAGGAGACTTCCCCAGAGTCCTGCCTGGCTTCGTGGGGAGCAGTTCCAGAGCATCGCCCGGGGGCTCTGTGAGAGTCCCACCCCCCATTCTGTAGTTCCCTCACATCCCCCCCATCAGGTCCCCATCCCCCCAATTTTGCCCCCTGTCCCATGTCCCTTCACCACCCTTGTGTACTCTCATGCCCCTGTCCCCGACCCTGTTCTGCCCTATCCCCATCTCCTATCCCCTCACACACCCCGACCTCCCTCCCTGGGGCAGAGGGGGGTGTGGGGTGTTGTGAGGGCAGGAGACTGAGGTGAAAGAAAGTGGGGGACCCAGAACTAAGGGGGCAGGAGTAGGAAGGGGTCAGTAAGAGGGGAAGCTGCCGAGGGGTGGAAATGGCAGCTGCCTCCTGGGGGACTGTGACGAAGTGGGACTGTTCTTAATATTTCCTCTGAATAGTGTGGGGGTGCCTCAGTTTCCCCTAGGCAGTTCTTAAGTATCTAGGTGGTGGGATAAGGGTATATAGAATCATAGAATCATAGAATATCAGGGTTGGAAGGGACCCCAGAAGGTCATCTAGTCCAACCCCCTGCTCGAAGCAGGACCAATTCCCAGTTAAATCATCCCAGCCAGGGCTTTGTCAAGCCTGACCTTAAAAACCTCTAAGGAAGGAGATTCTACCACCTCCCTAGGTAACGCATTCCAGTGTTTCACCACCCTCTTAGTGAAAAAGTTTTTCCTAATATCCAATCTAAACCTCCCCCACTGCAACTTGAGACCATTACTCCTCGTTCTGTCATCTGCTACCATTGAGAACAGTCTAGAGCCATCCTCTTTGGAACCCCCTTTCAGGTAGTTGAAAGCAGCTATCAGATCCCCCCTCATTCTTCTCTTCTGCAGACTAAACAATCCCAGCTCCCTCAGCCTCTCCTCATAACTCATGTGTTCCAGACCCCTAATCATTTTTGTTGCCCTTCGCTGGACTCTCTCCAATTTATCCACATCCTTCTTGTAGTGTGGGGCCCAAAACTGGACACAGTACTCCAGATGAGGCCTCACCAATGTCGAATAGAGGGGAACGATCACGTCCCTCGATCTGCTCGCTATGCCCCTACTTCTACATCCCAAAATGCCATTGACCTTCTTGGCAACAAGGGCACACTGCTGACTCATATCCAGCTTCTCGTCCACTGTCACCCCTAGGTCCTTTTCCGCAGAACTGCTGCCTAGCCATTCGGTCCCTAGTCTGTAGCTGTGCATTGGGTTCTTCCGTCCTAAGTGCAGGACCCTGCACTTATCCTTATTGAACCTCATCAGATTTCTTTTGGCCCAATCCTCCAATTTGTCTAGGTCCTTCTGTATCCTATCCCTCCCCTCCAGCGTATCTACCACTCCTCCCAGTTTAGTAACATCCGCAAATTTGCTGAGAGTGCAATCCACACCATCCTCCAGATCATTTATGAAGATATTGAACAAAACCGGCCCCAGGACCGACCCTTGGGGCACTCCACTTGATACCGGCTGCCAACTAGACATGGAGCCATTG